GTATGTATGACGATCAATGTCACGTTCATGCATGTTGCGTGTAGGCTTATGTCGCTGTGAATTTGAAACATGCTAGAAGACGTTTTGAGCCCAGCCTTTTTTGTAAAGTCTCTGGTGCGACTTTAGCGCCATCTTTTGGCAACTGCAGGATGGGCTGACTGGAAGTGCTTGGGGTGACTGGGCCAACTACACCGCCTCTCCCCTGCGAGCCTTCGAGAATGAACTTGGCGTGCAAGCTCCGGTGGGATTTTGGGACCCTGCAGGTGCGATGTGTATTTTTCATGTTTTGCATCCTTTCCGGTTTTTGCAGGCGTGTTTATACGTTTCAAGGTTTCAGATTGTAGAACATCATCTTATGGTGCGCAGTGATTTTGTTTTCTTCACACGCAGTTTCATCTTCAACGATGTTTTGTTAGTTGCGTATCATTGAAGATGGGTGCATATACAGATGTACGCTGCTTGGTGAAACAACACATGTAGACCTTGCATTGCAAAGATTGCAAAACCGCAAAAGATAGGCTTCACAGCGGATGGAAGCGTGGAGAACTTCAAGCGACGTCGTCAGACCGAGTTGAAGCACGGTCGCATATCCATGCTTGCAACAATGGGATATATCACTCCGGAGATCACGGGCAAATTCCCTGGTTATCTCTCGCCTTCAGCCGGCTTGAAATTCGCCGACGTGCCAAATGGTTTGGCAGCAATTTCCAAAGTGCCCGCTGCAGGATGGGGACAGATCTTGGCATACATGGCTTTCTGCGAGGTTTCTCAGGATCAGTCTCCTGGAACCCCAGCTGCAGCAGGAGACTTTGGATTCAAGGTGTTGACAGCATCTGATCCTGCGGAGAAGACCAAGAAATTAAGTGCAGAGTTGGCGAATGGCCGCCTTGCGATGATGGCTATCATTGGCATGTTCTTTCAGGACATCCAAGAGTGAAAGCCATGTAGGGGGAAGAGAAACGCAGCCATATTGGCAGATCCAACCCTGTAGCATCATGCAGAAGCTTTGATGATCAGATGATGTGTATGATCAGAGGTTTGCTGATGACGATGACGATGACGACAACAACGACGATGACGACGACCACGACGACGACGACGACGGCGGCGGCGACGACGACGACGACGACGACGGTGTCGATGACGTCGACGACGTTGACGAGGATGATGATGATGATGGTGATGATGATGATGATGATGAATGATGAATGATGAATGATGAATGATGATGGTGATGATGATAATGATGACGGTGATGATGATGATGGTGGTGGTGGTGATGATGTGGATGGCGTTCATGGTTCTTTGACGAGCATGGTTGTTGATCTTACTGAAAGTGTGGAAGACAAGAAGGAGGGAGCAAGGGGGGAAGCATGGTGATGATGATTTGGTTGTTGTTGTTGTTGTTGTTGTTGTTGATCACAGCTGATGATGAGAATGATGGTGACGACAATGGAGGTGAGGTTGATGATGATGATGATGATGATGATGATGCTGCTGATGATGATGATGAGGAGGAGGATGAGGGTGACGATGACGACGACGGCGACGACGACGACGATGATGATGATGATGATGAGGAGTGACGGTGGGCAGAAGTACAAATAGATCAGGGCGGTGTGTGAAATATTGTGGCGAATATCGACAGCAACTATATTACCTTCTCCATGGGACAACTGTTCGAAAACAAGTGTAGATTATCCCAGCAACCCCCCCCCAACACAGTGTTGCAAGGAGCATGGCGAAGAGATGCCAGGTTAGATTCTGCAAGTTCCCTTTGTGAGGATCTCCGTAAAAGATCGGATTCAAGATCTCCTTGGCGGTGGAAGCTGTTGTTCCTTTGTAAGGATATTTGTACAGGTGTCTATAAGAGATCTCCACGCAAGATTTCTGTGGGAAATCTTTCAGCTATCCATGCAAGCTCTCTATACGAGATCTCCTGGCAAGATCTCTAAGAGACATCTTGGCGAGATTTGTGCAAGAGATCTGTAGCCGAGGTTTCCGTACAAGATCTCTAAAAGAGGTCTCTTGGCAAGATCTCTGTAGAAGAGGTCTCGTCTCTATAAGAGATCTCTTGGCAAGATCTATGTAGAGACCTCTTGACAAGAATTCTGCAACAGATCTCTATGCAAGGTGCCTGTACAAAATCTCTATAAGAGGTCTCCTGGCAAGATCTTTGTATAAGCTCCCTATAGAGGAGGTCTCTGGGCAAGATTTCGAGAGGTCTTTGTTTAAGAGGTCTCTATAAGAGATTTCTTAGCAATATCTCTGCAAGAGACCTCTTGGCAAGATCTAAGCAACAGATCTCTATGCAAGGTCTCTGTACAAGATCTCTATGGGAGGTCTCCTGGCAAGATCTTAGTACAAGCTACCTGCAAGAGGTTTCTTGTCAAGATTTCGGTCTGCCCAAAGTGCTGAGAAGGTTGCGTGAGCGATCTCAAAATTGGCAGCGCGGGAGAAAGAAAAAGAAAGAGAGAGAGAGAGAGAGGGAGGGAGCACGAGAGAAAGAAAGAGAGAGAGAGAGAGAGAAAGATATGTTAGAACCAACGCTCCAGCAGTTGTCAACACGAGTGCGTGTGTGATTCGACAGCGTGTATATATGTATATATACCAGTAGTACCGCACAAGGCGGTGGCGGAAGTTTCAGAATAGGAAACCTATAGGAGACGTTGGTTGTTGTGAATCACGGATGGCAGAGCGAATCCACTGATTGACCGAAAGGTGGTTGGAGTTGTGTTTGCTGGAATGGTTGCAATGGTTGCAGTGGTCACCTCAACCACAACTGCTTGATGTAGGTGAGTACTGCAACGGTAGTTT